GTAGGATTGAGGAGTCTGGGTGGGTTTTTCAAGGGTTGAACGTGGGTTCTGCAGTTTGACGGGACTCAGGTTTTAGGGTTGAGGTTCAGGATCAGTTTGCTGTTATGGTTCCAGGTTCGGTTGTAAAGGTTCCTTCAGTGGTTAGTTCAAGTGCTCCTGTAAACGATTATAACTCCATATATAGCCTTGATAAAGCTTGTTGGAGGCTCAAGCATATCCTTGTTGGAACGGAGCTTTCTAGGCATGTGGGTCAGTGTCTTCAGGACCCGCTGAATCAAAAAGGACTCCATGATCTTAAGGTACCTGCTTAAAGCCGGTAAGACCTGCAGACAATCAATCATAAACCCCGTTCGACCTGTGAAGAAAGCCTCATTCTAAACCCCAAGCCCGAAACCTTGTTCCCCACATAGAGAAGCCTTGTCGTCACCCTTTTTTTTAGCGCAAAGAGGTTCGTATAGACCTTTCTCCACTTGAAGGCTCGTGGGACTTGGTAAGTAAGGTTATAAGTAGGTTATAATTAGGATAACCCCACATCCCAATTATAACCTACTTACTAAGTCCCATGATCCTCTAAGCAGAGGTGAAAGACTTCCCAGCTTCGGCAAAGACTTCATCGGACGAGGCACACGGAGTGCCGCCTGCAGGAGAGGCTTCACGCGGTGCTCCCCTAAAAAGCCTCCTCTGGCGGTTATGAAACCGGGTTACCATAAGAGACGCTATGTGACCATGCGGTTTAGGGTTTCGGGTTGCCGGTTTACAGGTTGGGGTTGAAGGTTCGTGGGTCTGTGGTAGTTGATCCCGAATGTAAACTGCCACTGGCCGAGGTCCGGGTGTAATGCAGTGTGTGGGGCCTCAAGGTTTCATGAAATATCACGGACTTCTACACGAAGTAGGGTTTGGGTATATTTGGTTTGCTGACTATGACTGCTGTGAATCAACCCTAGACCCCAACAGCTCAGAGGTTTAGGGTTTTGGGCTCAGAGTTCATAGCAAAACTACTGTGGCACTAAAGCCTAACCAGGAACAGGGCACCTTAATGCACGAGCATAGACTCGTTATAAACAGCAACCAGAGGTTGTCCTAAACCCTAGATCCATAAACAATACTAAACCCCTAAACCTTTAACCCCTAAACCCGACCCTGAACCATGCACAGCATCGGTTCTGTTTGGGTAAACTGTAGAAGCGCAGGGCGTGGCAAGGTCATCAAGTGTGGGTTGGGAGTTTCGAAAAACAGAGGACCCTGATATAGTACCATAAATAGTAGGATCCTTATTACAAGGACCCCCAAAATAAGATCCCCTAATCTTGGGATGTAACTTCTGAGGAATCTTGGACTGCCCCTAGGCCCTAGGCTTTGGGATTTTGGGTGTAGGGTGGAGGGTTTATACCTTTGACATTGTGGCTTCTGGGATTTATCAGATTTGCCAGGTTTTATTGGTTTTCGAAGGTTGTATACGGGCTCCATATTTGTTCCAAAGAGGTTTCATGAAACCCGAGCCCTACTTTTAGAGTTGCCGAAGGCGTCGCGCTGGCGACACGAGAATGAATACTGCTATTGGAAGGGCAGCAGGACGCATGCGCTGCTTTCGTCCGTCGGGCTGAAACGGCCGCCAGGTAGCCCGCACAGCAGCATGGCATAAGAGAGATCCGACCTCCGCGTGGTGCATTCGCTGAAGCACACCTGCGCTTAGTACCGGGCACCGCAAGGCTGGACACAAAGGTTTTGGCTGCTGAGAGCAGCCTTTGCACGATAGGAGTGCGTGAGGTATTGAAGGTTTCAAGGAGAACAGAAAACAGCGGAAAGAGCTGTAGCCAAACTGCGCAATTACAGCGGAGAAAGCCGTCAACATGCAGAAGTGCTTCGACATACTGTTGGCGTCAACTACGTCCTGCAATCGTTTGGAGGGCAGGGATGTGCAGCGGCAGTACAATCACTAGTTTCTATCTAACCTCAATTATGTGCGTAAGCTCGCCATGTTGAAATATTGCAAAGCCCTTACATGTGCCTTGCAAAGCCGTCCTCAACCCTAAACCAAAAGCCCGAAACCTCTAAACCCTAGCCGGTTTCATTCTCCGCCTTGATAAGTTCCTTCTAAGTTGCTGGCAGGCAAAGGCTGAGGTCGCTAAACTGCTGCCCAAGCGACAGGCCACAGCAAGTCGGGCTTTCATACGGTTGATGATATAAATCTTGCATTACCCATAGTAAGGAATATACCATAATTCCCATGGTTTAGGGTCCTTAAGGTAATGCAGGATTTATATCATCAACAGTATGGCGGTTTCTGAGGCTTCGGGTTGCCTAAGACTTCGTAGGGTTTCATACGGAGGGTGTGTTTTTTTGGGGTTTCTATAGGCTTTTATGTAGTTCCACATGTATTGCTGGACTTTTGCAGGGTTCCATGGGCATTTGTGGTGTATTGAAAAGGTTTTCATGGGGCTTTCATACTTGGAGGTTCATGGGTTGTTATGCGTGGTGTTTTGAGTAGGATAGCTAGCCTTATAACCCACCTTACCAGGACCCCCCAATGGCCCCTTAATGGAGCCCTTGTGGTCCTCGATAGGCATATTCGAGGGTAGTTGGGGGGTCTAAGTCGGGGACTTACAACCCCACTTTATGACTACTACCCTGAACCTCGAAGTAGAGCATCGAAGCAACTTTGACTCTTTGGTTTTCGAGTGCGGACTTAGGGTTTTCGGGTTTTCCGCATTCGAGGGCATTGGGTTTAGGGTCTTTAGGGTTCAGGAGTATACGGCAGAAGCTTGCAGGGCTAAACCCTTGACCCAGAAGTTCCTGAACCTCAAATTCGATTTTTCTCTCCCGCTCCTTACAGTCGGATCCTTTGACCCTCATCCCCACAGTCCAAGCCCCAAGTTCGTGAACCCCAAGCCATCCATAGGCCCCATAGTAGTTCCTTTTTGGGATTGCCTTATGGGATTCTATTTGATTATATGAGCCCCTACAGGGAACTACTTTGGGGCCTATGGGTAGGGGTTTGAGTTGCCGGAGTTGAAAGACGACTGTATGGAGACCTCCAGCAAAAGGGGGTCATGGTAGTGTAAGGGACTGGAGAACACTATGACCCCTGCATGACCTGATGGAGAGCCTTGCAATGGAAGCCCTGAAGCAGGAAATCTACCTCCAACTAGAGGGAATCTTCGTGTAATGCATGTACATTTTTGGTGTCGACACAGTGATACACATTATGCAGCAGTGTAGTATCAGCTGCAGAAGCAGGTCTGCATGTCGTGGCAATAAAACCATCAAGTATCACCAGTGTGACTTGCAGAAGCAAGTAAACCCGAGGCCCCTATCCCCAAACGCCACTTTCAAACCTGCCACCTGCTTGTGTTGTTCTGGGAGGTGCCAGTGGCAGCACTGTCGCTGCTGCAGAAGCAGGCGTGGTTTTGAGGGTTTAGACGACTTCGGCTTGAATCGGTTCAGAATTGGGGGTCTATAGTCAGTAAGCCAAGAAGGTTGGGGTCGGGGTTCCGGGGATTGAGATAATGATGTTCCAACTTTCTGGCCTTTACTGTAAGTGCTTGGAGGACATACCGTTATCGAACCTATCGTACCTTCATGTGGGGAGGGCGGGTTGGGCTGCCACACTCTTCTGCCCCAGCCGCTGGATCCGTAGCTAACAGCGCGGCGGATTTGAAGCAGCGTCATCCGGGCGCACCATTCGTTGTTCCTGCTGCTTAGTGAATCTCTAAGAGGGTGTTCATGCAGGTGGAACCTCGGGCAGTACTGGTACCAAAAAGCTCAATGTACGCCGATGTATGCAAACAACTGGCAGACAGCTCATGCAACTACAGTACTTAGAGGATCATGGGACTTAGTTCTTAGGTTATAATTGGGGTTATAAGTCCCCTAATTGGGGTTACCCTAATTATAACCTATTTATAACCTTACTTACTAAGTCCCATGAGCCTTCAAGTAGGCAGTAGTTAGGGTTCAGGGATCTAGGGTTTAGGGTTTTGGGGTTCATACATAGAATCCTACAGGGTAACTCCAAAAAAGGAACTACTTTGGGGCTCCTCGGTAGAGTAGCTGTCTTCGGCTCTTCGCATGATCTCGGTGCTGGCAGTGGACCCATGATTTTGTCTCCTAAAGGGAACTCCAGAAAGTTGGAATATGGTTTCAGGGTAGGATACCCTATAATTTACCATAAAGGGTTTAGGATAATCATATTCCAACTTTCTGGCTTTTACTTTAGGCCCCCTGATCCTGCAGAGGCCTCATGGAGCCCACTTGTAAATGTTTGGGCAAAATCCTGGGCTTCCACTTGTGTGTCTCAAGTAGATGCTGCAACCCGAAACCCAGGCCTAACCTCTAGACACAAAGGGCTTAGAGTTTGGGGTTGTAGGCTTGGGTGTTGAGGTCTGGAATCTTATCTTCCACAAACGAAGCAGCAGCTTAACAAGTACCTGCGACTCCTCTCCGGCATTAGATTGACATCCAAGCTTGAGGAGTCCAGAAAACTTTTGGGTCGAATATACTGTTGATGGACAAAATCCTGCATGACCCTAAGGACTCTAAACTATGGGAACTATGGTAATTTCTTTATAATGGGTATTGCAGGATTTCGTCCATCAACAGTATGACCCCGGCAGCATCGTTTGCCGAGACTCCTGTCTTCTATCGGTGGAACGCTGTAGCTACGACGCGATGCACTGCCAAGGGGGGCAAAGGCATCGTAGGCCAAGCCCCTAAACCCTAAAACCCCTAAACCCCAAGCCCCTAAACCACAAGAAGTCAGCCTCTTCCGCCGCGCTGCGAAAGACAGCTTCGGCTTGAAGTTTGGAGATCTGCCCTGGGAAGCAAGGTGTTGACCACCGCACTGAGGCTGCGCCCTTACACCCAGCCCCTAAACCAACCCAAGCCCCAAAATCCAGACACCAGAACCCAATGCTCAAAGCCGAAACTCTGGGTCCCGTTTAGAAACTGACAGGAACCCGTAAAGGAACACCTAAACCCTAAACTTTGAACCCGGCTGGCAGATGGCCATGGCGAAGAAAAACTTCGCCAAGGTCGAGGCGGGGGGGTTGTTTTGAAGGGGCTGTTTAAGGGTATGAAGGGTGCTATGAGGGGTTCGTTATAGGAGCTTTATATGGCATCAAACAAGCTCTAGGATGAGGCTTTTAGTATACTAAACGAACTTTTTCAGGGCATGCAAAGAGGTTCTATCAGGGCTTTGTAGGATTTTTCTTCGATTGTCAAGCTGCATAAAGAGTTTCGCAAAGGTGTTGCAGGGCCTTTTTTTTAGTTTAAGTTTGTTGCTGACTCCTGGTGTCAAAACTTCCGAGTTGATTGGGCCATGGCGGTCTGAACCAATACCGATAACAGCTCCTTGCAGTTCTTCACTGCGTCTGTGTATGTGTATGAGTATGTCATGTGTATGTGTATGTGTGTGTATGTGTGTATGTATGTATGTATGTACGTATGTAAGAATATATTTGTAAACACACATATATGCCTGTGTTGTGGATAACACCCATGAGTATACATGAATATTATATATATATATATATATATATGTATATACATATATGTATATATATATATATATATATATACACATACATATAGACACAATATAAGTGTGCATATGTGTAAACCCTTTCTCTATATGGTAGTTATGTATGTATATGTATGTGTGTCTGTGTGTATATACATAGAGAGAGAGAGAGAGAGAGAGAGAGAGAGAGAGAGAGAGAGAGAGAGAGAGAGAGAGAGAGAGAGAGAGAGAGAGAGAGAGAGGGTGTAGCATCCTTCCTCAAAAATAGCTATTCTAATCATCAAGGCTCATGCCCATACACAGGCCCTACATAAAGCCCTTTTTCCAGAAGCCTTGCAGATCCCTTGGAGGGACCTCTGAGGGCCCTTGAAGTAGTCAGTTTGGACATCAAGGACGCCTACTTGCAAGTCCCACAGCCATCGCCTGCCGTCACCACTGTCGATGCTAAGGTCTTTGGAGATGACCAGAAAGGCCAAGTCACCTATGCGCTTGAGCACCTGCTACCGGGACAGCGCATAGGTGCAAGTGCTTGGAAAAACTTTGCCAAGGAGATGCTCGAAACAGCTGGGATGGAGAACCGTGTGAAGGAGCCAATGTTGTTCAGAAGCCGTGCGGGCCAAGAGCGGGCCGGCATGATTTTGCATGCTGATGATGGCCTGCTGGGTTGGGCGGGTTTAGGAGTAGTGAAAAGACTACAGTACCCTCGGTAGACAAGGCTTTCACGGAGATTCTTGGTCTAGGCTAAAGCATAGCTTTAGGGTTTACGCAAGCTCTCGGTCAGCAGATATGTACCGGTGACGGTACTTCGATTACCAAGACGACTACAGCAATGCGTTTTCATGAAGGAGCGGAGTCGACCAAGCAAGAGCTAACACCAGTAATGGAGGAATGACATCAGGTAATGCCGGTAGTAGCAACAGCAACTACGATGACATTGGTATTAACCCCAAACCTTGAACCCTAATGATGCATTTAAACCCTAAAGCCCTAAGCCCTAAATGTTGGTTCTGGGTTGTGAGGAGGGACGGCCTGCTGAGATTTATCACAGAATCATAAATGCAGCGATGCAAGGAAGGGGCCTCAACTCATTGACCAGGGATCCCTCCTTAAGGCATATTCCGTGAATGAGGTTGAGTAGCGGGACAGGTCCCTGAATCCCCAAACTCAGAACCCTGCCGAGCTTTCCAGTCGTCTGTTTGAAAGTGACAGCTTTGGGCCCAAGAACACGACACCCAAAACACCTGGCCCTAAACAACGTACCCTAAAGCCTAAACCCCTAAGCCCCAAACCAAGAACCTCAAACTAAACCCTAAGCCCTAAATCCTAAACCCTAAATCCTAAACCCTAAACCCTAAATCCTAAACCCTAAACCCTAAACCCTAACTCTTTCTGCTTCCCCCCGAACGCTCCATCTTTCCAGGCCGCCGAGAGGGCGAAGAGCGCCTTGCAGGCCGAGTCCGAAGCGGCTGAGGAGCTCCCGAGTAATACTCAATATACCTACAATAGTATATCTATAGGGTTTAGGGTTCCTTTAAAGGGATCTATAAGGGTTCCTTAAGGGTTCCTTTAAGGGATCTATAGGGTTTAGGGTTTTAGGGGATTAGTAGAAGCCCAAAAGTTGGAAACCCCATAGCCTCAATCGTTAAGAGTACTGTATAGGGAATCCCAGCACTATTTGGCCTTAATCCAGTTTCCAACTTTATGGGGTTTACTGCATACCTACAACAGTATAGTACCTTAACCCTGAATAACCCTACCTTTTTGGGGTTCCTGACTATGATTCCTTATAAAAGGTAGGTTATTCGGGGTTAAGGTTTAGTATAGTGCAGTATAGTATGGTATAGTATGGTATAATGTAATATATCCTGAATCGGAGTTTCCGAAAATTAGGGGTGCAGTACCATAGAATTCCTTTAAAGGGTTATTGTAAGGGTACTATAAGGGGTTCCTTTAAAGGGCTGGAGAAGGGTTTAGAGTTTCAGAAAATTAGGGGTACCTTATGTTGGGGTCCTTATAATATGGATCCTGCTATTTAGGGTACTATATTAGGGTCCCCCATTTTCGGAAACCCCCGTATACCTATAATATAGTATAGTATTTAATAGTATAATGTAGTACCATATTTCCATGAAATAAAATACAACGTAATGTATAGTGAATATGATAGAATGTAATGTAACATACAATACAATCATAGTTGTTGGCCTTCGGCTGTAGGGTGTTGGGGTTTTAAGGTTCTAGCATTGAGGGTTCCCATGACTTTGGTGGCTTTAGAGTTCCTTTCGTTGAAGGTTCCTATACATGGTAGGGGTTCCTACAATGTTACAAGGTGCTGCAAGGTGGGTTTAGGATTTGGGCTGCATTCTTAGTTCGATGTGTGTTCGGTTTGCTCTAAGGCCGTTTCTAGGCTTTTCCATGACGTTTTTTTTGGTCTTGACATGGACTAACGTGAGGCTTGGGCCACTTTATGGGTGTGGGACTCACTACCGTCGCGCTTGGTGGAGGTGGTGTTTCGTTTATAAGCTAGGCAGACCATGGAACATCGTGACCTACCCTTTCCATACAAATCACATCTTGACAGGGGTAGGGGCTAAAGCCTGTTAATACAGACACTGAAGGGAACCTACAACCATGTAGGGCAGGCTAAGTGTAACGCCCATGAGGGCGTATCTGAAATCCTACTTCCAACGACCCACTTGGAGGTTCAGGGGTAGTTATAAGTGGAGTTACAAGTCCCCTAATATGGGCTATAAGTATACTTACCCTACTTATAACCCTACTTCTGACTACCCTAATCCCGAAACCCTATAACCCTAAAGATCCCTTTAAAGGAACCGTACCTATAACCCTACTTATAGCTACCCACTTTAACTAATTACAACACTTATATAAAAGTGTATCTCAGCTAAGGCTGTCGAATTGGCGATCCGAATTGGCCGATCGCAGGAATTGTGGTGGCTCCATCACCACCCGGTGCCTTGACATGCTTTGTCCGCATGTTTGCCAGTGCTAGATCCGCAGCCAAGGAGATGGTCCACCCAGAGACTCCAATATCCCTTAATTAAGGAATATACCTTAAATCATATTAGGGATCCTACTATAATTTAAGGTATATTCCTTAATTAAGGGATATTGGAGTCTCTAGGCAGCAGGTCATGTCTGAGCAGAGGGCGTATCATCTAGGGGCCCTTTTGCCTCCGAGACCGCCTGCTGTGGCCTGCCAGCAATTTTCTGTCGGGTTTACAAGGTGGTAAACCTTGTAAACGCTAGGCAGCTGCTGCTGTCCGAGCGATGACCCCGCCCGAAGTGAAGGCAGCTTTATAGTAGAAGCCAGAAAGTTGGAACATGACTTTAGGAGGATTAGTGCTAGGATCCCTGATACTTTACCTTAAGGGCATGAGGGTAATGATGTTCCAACTTCCTGGCTTCTACTGTAGATGGAAGGTCAGCTCTAAACCCTAAACCCTAAACCCCTAAACCCTAAGCCCTAAACCCCTAAACCCTAAACCCTCCCAGCCGTGTCCTGGCTCCAAGCAGAGTGGGCCCTGGCCTCCGAGGCGATGATTCCTTAAACACGTGGGTGGTCGTCAAAGTTAGGGTCCCGTTTTGGGTTCCCCCAAATATTAGGTGCCGTATTATACCACAAAGTTATGGCCTCTTTTTTTGGGTACCCTAAATATTAGGTGCCGTATTAGAATAAGGACCCAAAAAGGGACCCCAATATTGAAGAAGGGAGTTTCCAACAATAGGGGACCCTGATATAGTACCCTTAATAGTAGGATCCTTATTATAAGGACCCCAAAATAAGGTACCCCCCGAGGTTTTCAGAAACTCCCATGTGCCACAAGAAGCCCCTGACATGGACCTGTTAAGGGCCTTGCAGGGTTCTTGCGCCTGTATAGTCAGCCTAGGCTTGGGGGGGTTATACGATAAGTATACCAGGGAGCCCAAAGAAACCAATATAAACTATATGACTCAACATTCGAATGCCTGTTAAACCTTCGCAGAGTACACTGCGGAGCGCCAGAGTAGATACATGGGTGGTTGTCAAAATTAGGGTCCCTTTTTGGGTCCCTAATATAATACGGCACCTAATATTTAGGGTACCCAAAAAGGGACCCTAATTTTGACAACCACCCATGTAGATACGAATAGCCCTTGCCTCTCTGAAGGCCTACTTAAAGGATCATGGGACTTAGTATGTAATTAAGTTAGAATTAGGGTTATAAGTCCCCTGAGTGGGGTTATCCTAGGTCCCATGAGCCTTCAAGTATCATGTAGCAACACTGGAATATCACCCCCCCCCCCAGCGAATCATACTCTATCGTTTCAAGTCCCGGTCTTGTCTGCTGGATGCTCCAGGTGCTTGGGTTTGTAGTAGGAATAATGCAGTGTAGGTATTTGGGATGCTGCATGAAATTGAAGGCGCTAAACCCGATTATGCGTTCTAAACATCACCGGCCCTCTGCTGTAAGCATCCTGGTTAGACACGAGGCTGTATAATGTCAGGGTTTGCGGGGGTTTTGTGGTTTGGGTCGAGCTGAGAATGGTAAGACTACATTCATTTTTCGGGTACTCTAAGCCTCAACCCCAAGCCCCAAGAATTGAAACCCTAAGCCCCTAAACCTTAAACCCTTTTAAAAGGAGCTCTCAAAAAAAAACCTAACCCCCAAACAAAGGCCCGAATCACCAGAACTGCTACAGGAGATCACGAAGGGGGTGAGGAAAAAAGTCGAGGAGGCGGAGGCGGCCTATGACTCGTTTAAGCTTAGGGGTCAGCTTGGAGGTCCATGGGTCGCTATAAGTAGGGTTATAAGTGGGGTTCCTTTAAAGGGATCTATGAAGTTATAGGGTTTAGGGATTGGGGTAGCTACACGTAGGGTCAGAAGAAGGGCAACTATACTTATAACCCATATTAGGAGACTTATAACCCCACTTATAACTACCCATGAACCTCCAAAGAAGGGTTCAGGGTACTGGGTTCCTTGAACCAGGCTTTTGAAGGGCTTCTATACTGGTTCTATTGGATTTATACGTGTGTTTGTTTACACTTACTGGTGGTTCAACGGAAAAAGCGCTCTGAACTTTGAGGTTGTTTATGCTTCATACATATGCGAGTTTCCGAAAATAGGGGACCCTAATATAGTACCCTAAATAGCAGGATCCTTATTATAAGGACCCCAAAGTAAGGTACTCCTAATTTTCGGAAACTCCCATATCATGGTTTTGGGGTTTTGCCGCTGGGGTTTACATGGCTTGACTCGGTCTGTAAGGTATAAGGGGTGTTCCTGGTTCCTCACGAAAAGGGGCTGATTTGGGAGTGCTTTGGAGTGATTATGGGCTTGGGGGGCCTTTGGGGCTGTAGGGTTGGAGGGTCCAAGCTCCAGGGTTTGGGGTTTCGCATGCAGGTTGGATAGATCGCAAAGCTGGAAATGTCCGAGGGAGCCTGTAAACCTCCAGAACACTTCAATCCTGAATTGAAAGTCTCCTTCAAGCCTTGTTGGCAGCAATATCGATGCGATAACTCCCTGCACACCGACTCTGAAACCTGAAACTTAAACCTGAAACCCCAAGCCCCAACCGGAAATCCACATCACCAGGCTATGTTGCAAAAGCTGGAGGTGGGATCAAGTGTTTCGCGTGCGACTTCGGGTGCTTTCGTTCGTCCAACCCTAAGCCCTGTAGAGCCTATCTGGAACGACTATAGCTATAACCTACTTTGTTGGGAGGGTCACTATATCTTTTGGTTTGGGATATATGTGGCTCAGTTGTGGTAGTATACAAGCCGCATAAAGCCGAATCCCTCCGCTGGTCTGTCTCAAGTTGCCACAGCAGGGAAAGCATATTCCATACCACTAGTACTACCTACTACACATGCCTGTCATGGTAACTTCTAAAACACTCCTCCTGCAACTCCCATGGAAAGCTTGAAGTAAAACCCCCAGCAGCAGCCCAACACAACCGTGAATCCCAGAGCCCCGCCGTAAACCTTCAGTCGAAAAGGTTACTTACCTGCATCGAGGCCTTAGTTGATGCCTGAGACGACTTACAAAATATTACCCTAGGGATCAACATAGCCCAAAAGCATTAGTTAGTATGGTCTTTGGGCCCAAAAGCCTTAATGTAAGAGTCCTTAGATCCCTAGGGTTATAAGACAGAACCCTAATGTAGCCCTCGTCCCGAAACGCTGAAGCGTAGACGGAGTTTGCATCTGAGCCTAAACCTTCAGCCCGCACGGTTTAGGGTTTAGGGTTTAGGGTTTAGGGTTTAGGGTTTAGGATGAACACTTGGTCCTATACAGTTTAGCGGGATCTCTGCTGTGGCCCTAAACCCCGAGGCATCGAGGGATCCTTCAGGTAGTTTATTGTACATCCTTTACTTCAGGGCTTCTTGGGGAGCCGAGCAACGGACCGTGTCCTTCGGGTCGTGAAGCTGGAGATGGGGAGGTGCAGTGCCGCGCACACCTGGGCCGGCGCCACTTACACCTGGCGCTGCACCCCGGACTTCTTGGAAGGTGCGAAAGCTTTCAGCCAAGAGTCGCGCTGGCCGAACCGGAGTATGGATGGTTCCAATGGGAGACCCCTTCGACTGGGGCATCGTTGCCACCGAAACCACCTCCGATAGCGACGCGCAGAGATACATATGTATATGTATACACATGTGCTTATATATATATATATACATTGCATATTTCCAGGTTTTGCGTCTGCATGCCCCAGACGCAAGAACCGCACAGCGTGTAATAAATTGCCACGCGGTTTGGCGAACATAAGTAACCTTAATAAGTAGAAGGGGGCTTTGCGGCCCATGCTACTATAATCGTAAATAGCATTGGTAACTATTTAGGCCCCTGTAGTAGCTAAAGCTCTCAAACCCTGAAAGCCGAAAGCCTAGAGTGGTTTCGAGCTCAGCCATTGCGCGACTTTCAGGAGCTCATTGCGCCCTTCCTGAAGCTGAAGGACTGAACCTGCTTTCTGGATCGTGAGTGATTGCGGTTGTGAGTTTGCTGATTGGAGATTGTTGTCGACTCTGACGCATTGTTATTGCAAAGAGTTTGGGGGCAAACCGTTTATCCGATCCCTACAATATTGAAGCGCATAGCTCTCAGCCCCAAACCCTGCAGATAGAGGGTTATGACCCCATAACTACAGGGAGAGAGTCTTTTAAAACAGTAGATTAGGCAGGCTATTTCCCAATTTAAATAGGGTAGATCCCTCAAGGGATCCCAGGAAGAAGCTCCCCCAGAAAACCTGCACGAAGCCCAGCCCTAACTCCAACCCTGAACCCTCCAAGCCAGGGTGCTTTGGCTGTCTGCTGGTTCCAGCTTTAGGTTCTTGAAGGCTCATGGGACTTAGTAAGTAAGGTATAATAAGTAGGTTATAATTGGGATATACCCCCACTTAGGGGACTTATAGCCCCAGTTATAACCTACTTACTAAGTCCCGTGATCCTCTAAGTAGACCCTAAACCCTATCCCTCTAAGGAAGCCGATAGATCCCTTTAAGGAGCCCTTTAAGGAACCTTACTTACTAAGTCCCATGATCCTCTAAGTAACCTAAGCTACCCTTATAGAACCCTTATATTATAGATCCCTAAACCCTAAACCCGTTAAGGAGCCCTTTAAGGAACCCTGAGTCCGATAATTTTCTAAAATAGGGGACCCTAAGAAATATAGCACCCTAAATAGCAGGATCCCTATTATAAGGACCCCCAAAATAAGGTACGCCGAATTTTCGGCAACCACCCATATACCCCCGAAAGGCATAAGCTCTCCAAACCCAAAATCAGGTACCCCTAGCTGGTTCCAGCTTTAAGTTACCGTCGGGCTGAGGGATTTGGACTTCAGAGTTTCTGGAGACTCGACGGTCAAGGACCTGTTTGGTTCCATATTTAGGGTTTAGGGTTTAGGGCCTTTCATTTCCCTTAAATCATAATAGTAACTCCGAGTATGGAAACCCTACATTCTACTATATCGGTACATAGGACCCTTTGCCCAGACCGAAATGCTGCCCACCTGAAGGCTTCCGGCGTAGGTGGTTTCGAAACACCGGCAGCCCTGGAGAAGGAGCGTGGTCTGAAACGCCTCTATATGGGAGTGTCCGAGATTTAGGGGTACCCTGTTTTGGTGACCGTATAATCAGTATCCTACTATTTATTTAGGGTGCTATATTAGTAAGGGTCCCCCATTTTCGGAAACTCCTATAGTACCCTAAACCCTAAACCCTAATGTAGCTTCTAATGGGAGAACTTGAGGATTTCCGGCCCAGGGTGTTCGTGGACTGTTGGGGACTTTTAGGGTGTATACCCGTGAACCCAATAACCTACTGCCTTAAGGGCTATGCTCCATAATCATGGGGTCGTTTACTGTTTGTAGAGTTTTGGGCTGCAGGTAGGGCTAGGGGCTACTTGGGTTTCTAGGATCTGCAGATCTTCTTGGGAAAGTCAGGTCACCGGTTGATGAATGGTGGCTGCGACGAATGCAAAGCTAGGGATTCCAGAAGCCCGCAAACCAGGAGTATACTTCAGAAGCTGCCCCCACCCTGTAATAGTGACTATAAGGATTATATCAGGGGCCCTATTATATTCCTATTGTACCACTATTACAGGGTGGAGGCCCTTCTAAAGTATACTCTCATACACCACCTCAAAGACCCAAGTCCCAGTACTGAGGCCTCGATGAGCATCGTAGCACCGTCCCTGTTCGGTAACCTATAGAGTATAGATCCCTATAAGGAACCCCATAAACCCTACTTAAAACTACCCATTAACCTCCAAGTAAGTCAGAGCCCTGAGAGAACCATTGCCCGGTTTGTGCTGAGCTTGCAGGTGGAAGGCAAATGGCGCCAAAAGGCACAGATAGTCGTGAAGTGGGGTCCCCGGGGTGGCGGGATGCCGCCATGGGCTGCCATGCTTGGAATGAAGCAGGCGGCCGAGCAGAGCCTTTCGTCAGGAAATATCGACAACATCAAGCAATGGAAGGAGGATGTTGTGCGGGCGATCAATGCAAGCACGTGGGTGGAGTACATGGAAAACCTGAGGCCTCAGTGTGAAAAGTGGGCCAACAGAGCTCATACAGTTTGTTTCTGCCAGAAAGCACTTGCTTCGAGGCGGCACATAGGCCCAAGACATGGTGGAAGCACATGACTGATTGGGACCTTGAATCCTGAACTTTACCCTAAATTACGAGGTGTGTGCCTGCTCGAAATCCAGATGTGGCTTAAGGGCTTTGGGTTCAGAGTTCCGGAGTTGGGCTCTTCGGGTTTAGGGTTCAGGGTTTAAAGTTTCAGTTTAGGGCTTAGGTCTTTAGGGTTTAGGGTTTTTTAGGGTTTAGGTGTTTAGGGTTTAGGCTTTTAGGGATTTTAGGGTTTGGGGGGTTTAGGGTTTAAAGGGTTTAGGCTTTAGGGTTTAGGGTTATAGGCGTTCAGGGTTTAATTAAGGGAGCTTCGGGTCCGTGGCAGGGCCGCCAAAAAGTCAGAGCAGGCTACGGCAGCCGCTGACGATCAGCCAACCACTTATCCCGTTGTCGTCCCTTGTAGGTTAATCTAGGATATGTAATATATATGTATATATATATAGACATATATGGATATGTAACATATATATGTGTGTGTATATATATATATATATATATATATATGGGTACCCTCCATCGATCTACCGTGTTCGTGTGTTTGGCTGAAGCCCCACAGCATACATATATGTATATATGTACATGCGTACATATTGGTATATATATACATATATACAGTTGTATGTACATCATGTATATATATATATGTGTATATATATGAATATATACACTCCCGCTTCAACCTGTAGTATGCCCCTTCAAGCCTTAGTCTAATCATCCATTTGCCTTTGTTAATCTCGAAGCCCGAAGCCAGCAACATGCTTTCTGATCCCAAAACCACTTGTATCTTAATGCCGACCTCTGTTTAAGAAACCACCCCCATCTTCAAATCTTCAGAGGGATGAAAATCCCGAAGGGAATCCATAATCTGGGGTTTTCATTCAACCCTCAGAGAGCCCAGAATGAAACCATCACAGGAAAGGTTCATTCAAGTACCAATTCTGATCCCGAAACCGCTGAGCGCGAAAGCGTGGCTGGCGGCACGGAAACCGTAAACTACCGAGCAAAGAGAGCCCAAACGGCCATAGCTAAGGATCTTGAGAGGACATGAAGCGGCGTAGCGGCTTTATTGGCTAGTTGTGACTAGGTCCCGCTGTGGCGCCTTCTTGCTTTTTCTAACAAGGATGCTCTAATCTCGCGAGTCTCTATGTTTCTTCGTAAGGGCTTGTACGAGTCTCTAAAAAGTCATGCAGGTTCCCTAGGGATTGTCAGTGTCATTTGGGAGTTTCCGAAGATTAGGGGTACCGTATTTTGGGGTCCTTATAATAAGGGTCCTACTACTTTAGGGTCTATACTAGAGTCCCTTATTTTCAGAATCCCCCATCTCTAACCTATGAGAATATGCTTTCCGAACCCCTTAAAGGAACCATTCCATGAACCCCTACAGATCCCTTTAAGGAACCTTGAAAGGAACCCTTAAGGGAACCCTTAAAGGAACCCTCAACAGAGCACGTAAAGGAAGCGCGCGAACTGCACCAAGCTCTGCGAGATGCAGCCGCCAATGCCAAGGCAGGGTCTTGGCCAGGGGGATTTTTTGGGTTCTCTTTAAAGATGGGGCCCCATGGTGCTGAGAATGGCGGCGGATAGTTATGAGACAGTTGTTGTGCAAGCTTTAAAGGGATCTAGAAGGAATCCTTAAAATTAGGGTTTAAGGGTTAAGGGTTTAGGGTTTAGGGGATTTGTTCCTTTGCAGGGATCTATAAGGTTTCCTAAAAAAAGGATGGTATGAGTGGTTTAGGGCTTCGTGTCTAGGTTTTAGGGGTGGGTTCTGGAGTACCACGTGTTAACGTTTGTTGCAACCTGTTCCTTAAAACTTATTCCCTTTTTTCTGCTTGTTTATTTCAACTCCCAGCATATTTGGCTTACTTTGGTTAGATGCCCCGAAAAGGTATTGCAAATCAGGGTCCAGGTCGAGTTCAGTGTAGAGGTCGCCCGGATTGCATGTCAGGGTGTCGGCTTTTGGTTTGAGCAAACAACACATCTTCAAAAGGAGCACCTCGGAATTGTACGCCATTCGTCTAACGGGACCCTCATCCCTCAACTCTAATAGGCACCTGAGCCCCAAGCCTAGGTGCCAAAGGCGGTGAAGCCGAAGGCTAAGCAGGCAGCTCCGAGGCCGGTCGAGGACTACGTGCTCCAGACGATGGTTCGCGAAGCAGAGAAAGTCTTCCCCGATCATGAAGGTCGAGGCAAGGGCAGACAGATACGATCTCAGCTCTGCCTGGAGACAGAAATTGCAAATAGTGATCAAGGGCGACGTCACGCCGACGGTGGGCATGAGTGGCTTTGATTAAGTTAGAAGGGAATTGGCGGGTCCGCGGGTTTGGGGGCGTAGGAGGGTTTGGGATTGTTTAGTAGGTTTCGGTGTAATGCAGGAATTGGGGTTTAAGAAGGTTCTGTAGGTTTCGGGAGCTTTGGGATGGTTTGCTTCAGGGAGAGTTTCCCTAAACCCTAAACCCCCTAAACCCTAAACCCTAAACCCAGGGCCAGAGTTCTAGGGCGAGAGGTGGGCTTAAGAAGGTGGGATTTCGGGTTTAGGGAAAGTTTCGGGCTTCAGGACGACAGCCAGGGTTTTAGGGTTTGGCTTTGAGGGTGGGGTCGAGGGGGCTGAGATTCGGCCCAAGGGTGGGGATTTATATGGGAGTTTCCGAAAATAGGGGACCCTTATATGGGGGTCCTCATAATAAGGATCCTACTATTTAGGGTACTATATTCGGGTCCCCTATTTTCGGAAACTCCCATATAAGGTTTAGGCTTAAGTAGGTGGGGTTTGGGGAGAGTTTCGAGCTGCAGGGCCAAGGTTTGAGGGTTTGGGTGGGGGTTTAGGTCGTGGGTGCCTTAAGATTGACCATCAGCAGACAGGACAGCCCCCAACCATAAACAACAGCATTAATAAGGACACTTTTTAAAGGTACGGGCTCGAATAAGGAAAGCACGCACATTAATTCGTCACATAGGATGAAACGCGCCACCACATGAAACTCTGAACTGCGAAGCCCTAGCCCTAAGCCCCAAACCGGAACCATTATAAAGCTCTTTCAAGACAGTAACCACATACTCTAGATACCCCTTGTAACACCCTCAAAGGAACCCTCCAGGGAACCCCCATAGGAATCCTTCACAAGAGGTACGTTGTAGAGCCTCATAGTGCCCCATGTTAGTTAGTTATAGAACCCTTACAGAGCCCTTTCCGAATCCCTACTCTGAATATTGAGGCCCCTACCTTAAACCCCTGGACCTTGCACCCCCCCAAGCCCCTATCTAAAAACTGAAGAGCCCCGAAGCCCACCACCTAAAAACTTGGGTACTGCCCACACTCAGTAAGACTGAATTTGTAATGTAGTTAGATATATAAGACCATTGATTGTAACCCTTCGATAGATTGTTACTGTATGGTGGCAGTACCCCAACCCCCTAAAACCGCAGAGCCCCAAACCCCAAACCCTAAAACCTAAACCCTAAATCCTAAAACCCCAAAACCCCAGACCCTAAGTTGTTAAGTCTGGAAGCTTCTGGCCCCCGGCGCAGACCTCGAGCACCGAGACTGCCCGGGAAGACGCATCTCACGGGGGCAGGCGCACTTTAGGGCTTAGGGTTTTGGGGTTTAGGGTTTAGAGTTTAGGAGGGCTTAGGCTTCGGGTATACGGGATTCATTGTTTAGTTTAGGGGTTTAGGATATAAAGGATGAAGGCGACTTAGTTCTTTAGGGTTTACGGAGTTTAGGGCTTCTGCAGAAAGCGCCTTTTTACTTGTGGCGTTCGGTAATCAGTTTCTGCGTTGGTTTTTTGGGGGGTCAGGGAAGGTTTAATTGGGTATGGGCTGGAGGGCTTATTCTTTAGGGTTTAGGGTTTAGGGATTCTAGGACTCTGGAGTGGTTGAGTGGACGTTGCGCAAGTTCCTCCGCGGTGTATGCAGCCTGCCAGACTCTCGACCCTATCAAATCAAACCCTAAACCTGGAAACCGCTTGCACCGTAGCCTGGCCTCTTCTATACCCTAAATAGACAGTATGAAGGACAATAAGGTTTACCATTTCTTCTCCTGGGGTTTAGGATTTGGGGGGGTTGGATTGGGGGGCTAGGGTAAGTTTAGACTTTTAGGGAAAACATTAATCCTTAGCCCTGTAGACGTCTTACAATCTAATCTAGCATGGCTCCTTCAAGCACTTGCAGGTCAATGTCGGAGACTGTAAGAGGTCTATCGAGGAAGCATGGATGCATGTCCAGCCTTGCCAGACTTCTCCTGACCACAGTACTAAACCCCGCCGCAAGGCGCCGCAAAAGCCTGATCCGCCAAGTGAATCGCTTGCGGATCAGGCTTAAGAAGGGGTATAAGTGGCTGCGGGGTAAGCTGCAGAAGCAGCTGAAAAAAGGCACAATCGCAACAAGGAGACCTGCTACTCGTTTGGAGACCTCACGACATCGATGAAGCTCGAACTTGCAGCCATACAGCGGGCATGTGCGAAAGGCGAATCATGACTTTGCTGGAGCAAGAGGAAGCTGGCTCTGCTTTCGTGCAAAGAGAAGTGCAGCCCAGTGTGATTCCGGAGTCAGATCCTCAAAAGCCTTATGGCTTTCATAAACGCTGTGGCCCCAGATCCCCATAGAGACCCTAACACACTATACATATACAATCCATACGAACCCCTGGCAAAACCTGCTTGGCTCCCTGAACATAATATTTTTTAACCGGCCAAGACCGAAACCCTACAGTAAACTCCAATCGCCCCGACCCCTAAAACCCCCAACTGCAAACCCCCCCCCCCCACCCCGCAAACCCCAAACCCCTGAACCCCGAATCAAACCCCCGCAACCCCTACACCGAAACTCCCAAACCCGCAAACCCCTCAACCCCCAAACCCTCAAACCCTAAACCTAAACCCTAACCTCAACCCGAAACCCCAAACCCCGAAGCCAATTCGGTTTAGGGTTTAGGGATTGCCAGGCCCAATGCTTTCCGCAGGCCTGCAGCGGTCGCTCGACGGGAGCTCGCCGTTCTGTCGAACAGGGCCGAGAAAGTGATCATGAAGGGCACCTTGGCTTAAAGCTTACGGATATTTAGATTTTGGGGGTCTAGAGGGTTGAGATCATGAAGGGCACCTTGGCGTAAAGCTTAGGGCCCAGAGGTTTGGATTTTTGAGTCCAGGATATTTGGGTTTCGGGTGTCTATAGGGTTGAGATCATGAAGGGCACCTTGGCTTAAAGCTTATGGCCTAGAGGTTTGGATTTTTGAGTCCAGGATATTTGGGTTTCGGGTGTCTATAGGGTTGAGATCATGAAGGGCACCTTGGCTTAAAGCTTAGGGCCTAGAGGTTTGGGTTTTTGAGTCCAGGATATTTGGGTTTCGGGTGTCTATAGGGTTGAGATCATGAAGGGCACCTTGGCTTAAAGCTTAGGGCCTAGAGGTTTGGATTTTTGAGTCCAGGATATTTGGGCTTCGGGTGTCTATAGGGTTGAGATCATGGAGGGCACCTTGGCTTGAGCTTTTAGGGATGAAGGGTTTGCAGTTCAGGGTTTCGGTTGATGGGGGGGTCTGTAATTAGGGTCCAGGTCATGAGTTGCACCTTGGTTTAAAGCTCGCGACCCAGAGGCTTTTTTTTACTGTTTTCGGGTGGTCCGAGGGGTTCAGGCTTTCAGTTTAGACTTGAGCTAGACCCTGACTTGCAGTAGCATTTTCAGGGTTTCTAGGGTTTAGAGTTTAGGGTTCAGGCCGGGGTTTAGGATCGATTTTTGGCATGCCCTCCCAAAGAGTTTCAGGGTCAAGGCTTTCGATGCAAAGACGGGTCATGAGGGTTGCACATCAAAGTTCCTGAAAAAGATTTCATAAAGCCCCGCCATCCCTATGCAGCCCAAAGGTCTGACTTCTGAACCGTAGACACACAACCAGAACTCCTTTTCTGGGACCCGTAAAACATGCAACTCGAGTTGAAGCGCTGTAAAAGCTACGACTCTAAACCCCCTAACCCGCGATATAGCAACTTTCGCAGGGCCCGTCGGTAATCCTTATGCTACTCTCATAAATCATCCTCTTTGTATCCTTACAACTACATCTCCAACTCGCATGTCAAGAACCCAGCAATGAGGTAAACTGGCCCTCACGGCGCTAGAGAAGTTGCTGGAGGTCCCTTTGGAGGGTTAGGGTTGTGGGGGTTGGGGTGTAGCGTTCAGAGTCTGAAGTCTTGGAGTTTAAGAAAGATTTACCTACTAGTCGAGTAGGTAACCTTTAATAACTTTTTTTAAAGTATAGTCCCTTTATAATCGCTAAATATGACCAAAAAGGTTAGCCTTTAGTTCCCCATGACACCCGACAAGTAGGTTTAGGATGTTTGAAAGTTCAAGGTTTTAGGGTTCAGAGCGGTTGGGCTTAGGGCTTAGGGCCCCTTTGAAGGGCTTCCGGGTGTTCTTCTACGAGGGTTCTACACTTCTACACTTGCCTACTACGGCTCTAAAGACTGCTGTACCTATAGTCTCCATTGTAGTTCCTTTTTGGGGTTACCTTATAGGATCCTTAATATATAATTGGTTAAACCAAAAAAAGGAACTACAATGGAGACTCTAGGTGGTACCTGCTATTGGGATTTATAGAAAGGCGTGTACGTGTTGTCAGGGTTATGAACTCGAGCAAGAAACAAGATGCTGGACCCTAAACCCTAAACCTTTTTTGTAATATCCTGGGCTGTCCTTTGGGATCTTTTTTTGATTTCCCGCACTAGTTTGTAGAGAACCATAATTATAGTAAATATTTTTCAAAGGGCTTAAAGGACAACTCAGTATCCTCAATCTGCAGACCCGAATGGCAGTCGTTGAGCCACGAGGACCAGCTCCTGCTCCGGTACATGGGCTTTTGGGTTTGGGAGTTTTGGGTTGAGGGTAAAGTTGTATGGAAATTGATAACAAGTCTTATTTTTTGAAAATGAAAATTGTAAATGTTTTTTTTGTTTTGGGGGTTTGGGGTTTGGTGTTTAGAACGGCCGCCAGCTACCCCGCCCCGTCTGGGTTCGAGTTTGTCACCGTGGAAATCGACGGCAGCACCTAATGCAAGCTGCTGAGGCGTAACAGGAACTATAGATGGACTGCTTACGAAAGATACAACATAGTGCATATTAGTCTTGGACATAATCGTATAGTAGTAATATTCCGTGGACTTCCCGTATGTTTGCGGGATGACACCGATGCCAAAGCTGCAAAGCCCTAGTCGTCCCTAGTATTCGCTAGGATAATGATTACAAGAAGGACACTTGCATGAGTTTGATGCAGCTAGTGCTCTATAGATGCAATACTGTACGGGCCTATAGTTGCGAATTTTGTTCCTCAAGCTTGCTTGGTACAGTTAGTTACAAGACATCCCCCAAACCTGTTCCAACTTAGCCCCACCCCCTATGTGATGTATGGGACGCTGGACACTGCTAGCACAACGCCGCGCGGTACTGACTATAAACCGTTTTGGCAGCTTAACCTTCGACCTGAGCCGCCAGTATCTGCAGAATCCTAAGCTTAATCCCCTCCGCAGGATCCTCTGCCACATCGGACCATTGAACTCCATATCCAGAGACTCCAATATCCCTTAATTAAGGAATATACCTTAAAATTATAGTGGGATCCTTAATATGATTTAAGGAATATTCCCTAATTAAGGGGTATTGGAGTCTCTAGAAATGAAAGGGCCAGACTAAACCCTAAACACTAAAACCCCTAAACCCCAAACCCTAGAAATGAAAGGGAAATAGGATCCCTGATATGATGTAAGGAATATTCCCTAATTAAGGGGTATTGGAGTCTCTAGAAATGGCCCTAAACCCTAAACCCTAAAACCCCTAAACCCCTAAACCCTAAACCCCAGAAATGAAAGGGCTACTGACCTCTGCCAGGTCGCGACAAGCGCATTGTCGGGAGTCCCAGCGCCGGGCCAGGGGTTTCAGGAGCCAGGGATTACCCATGGGCCCCATAGTAGTTCATTTTTGGGACTACCTTATAGAATTCTATATATGAACCACAAAAAGGAACTACTTTGGGGCCTATGAGTAGGTTCCTTAAAGGGATCCTGAAAGGGATCTATCGGCTCCCTTAGAGGGATCTATAGGGTTTAGGGTTTAGGGTCTACTTAGAGGATCATGGGACTTAGTAAGTAGGTTCTAACTGGGGTTATAAGTCCCCTAAGTGGGGTTATCCTTTTTATAACCTATTTATAACCCTACTTACTAAGTCCCATGAGCCTTCAAGTAGTTGTTTGGGGTCGAGGTTTGCGCGTTGTGACTGTGCAGCTTCGCGCAGGGTCAACGACACCCTTTCCAGATTTCCAGATGCCAGGTTCACCGAGGTGGTCTGTGGCAAAGTCGACACTAAGCTCGGCGTTTGAGGTTGCTTCTTGTGATTGAGATAGTAGATGTGTTTCTCATGGGATGTCTTTCATAGGAGGCCAAAAGGGGTTTTAGCCTATGGGGGTTTAGTAGGGATTAGGGTTCCCATAATAGGGTTCATATTCAGGAATCCCTACCCCAAGAATCTTAAACCCCCCTCTTGGCCTCCCATCAGTCTTCCAGTGCGAGACCTAAGCCCCAAGCCTAGTTTCAAAGCCCTAAAGCCCCGCGGCCAAACCGAAACTGACAGCCCGGCCCGTAAACCCCCATCCGTCGTTGTGAGACGCTTCCGACGCGGCTTGGTGTAACTTTCCAAGCTCGGCTTGGGTTCTGTGTTCAGAGAGTTTGTGGCTTGGTCTTTACTCTAGACTCTAGGTTTTAGGTTTTAGGGTTCGGGTTTAGTAGTTCAGGGTTGGGGGTTTAGGGTTTGCAGGGTTCAGTGATGTGCCTGCGGCTAGGCCGGCTAGGCCCAAAGCGCGGGATGTTTTCAACCCGACTTTCGAAGCCAATCTCAATGTTCAGGCACCTGCAGCTGATGGTTTCTAGTCTCCCTGGCTTGCTTCAACTCGATATCCCCTATTGCAGAGTCAGCACACCCCGTGTTCGTTACACCTTTATAGACGCATCCCTAAACCCTATAACCCTAGGGATCTAAGGACTCATGTTTTAAGGCTTTTGGGCCCAAAGACCATACTACGTAAGGCTTTTGGGCTATTAAGATCCCTAGAGTCAGCCTAAACCTTTCTACCCTTACAGCACCCTTTTCAGAGTCCCGGCAGTTTCAGCCGCTAATCCCAGGTCGAAACGCCTCGGGGCAGCTCTGCGGAGTGAGAAGGCTCCGGTGAAGGACCTGACGCAAGAGGCGCCGGAGAGTGCCTTTTGAATATTCTTATTGTTTTATTGTCATCTTTATTGTTATTCTGAATTCTTAGAATGCCCATTATTGGAGGGGGTTTTGGGAGTTCAGGTGAAGGTTTAGGGTTTCGAGTTTCAGGTTGGGTTCAGGGTTTTGGCTCCTGCATGGGTTTTCTAGATGTGTAATCAGGCATTCCGCAGGCCTATTCCGAACTTCATTCAGGATCTCATAGGGTCGTGTACGGGGATTCAAATGGCTTGAGAGAGCCGCAGGGATTCTCGGAGACTTGCGTTGTTCCCTCCAAGCCGCAGGGATTGATCAGCACCCTGCTAGTGTTGCAAAAACATGTTTGTCGTGGAAGCAGAGGCAGTGGTTCTGACTGTGGCCATCTTGTTGGTGAGGATGTAGATTATGATACTTTCGAGGCAATGTGAGGGAGGATGGTGTTGGTTCTGAAGGTGACTCACGGCACAAGCATGGCCACCGCCATCTTCGGCATTGGCAGCACCATGGCAAGGATCACTACTACATGACATGGGCACCACGGTTCGTCACTTGAGTGGATGAACTCACAATATGTCGATGAGCACAGCCTTGTATTGTCGACAGCAACCTCGCCCGGAATCTTGATGTAGACTTAGAGGATTTCTGGTGTAGGTTGTAGGTGTAGAGCTTGATGGGCACGAACTCTCCCAAACTCCAAATGCCTAGACCCTCAACCCTCAACCCCTAAACCCCAAACCCGTCTCAGGGCTTTCGGAAGCACATCCTCAGTGTGGCATCTGCCGATTTCACGGAGGCTCGCTTCCGGCGGGATTCAGGGTTGAGGATCTGGCCTTTGGGGTGTTTCATTGCATTTCCCTTCATTTGAAGCCCTTTTCGAACGTGTTTACAGCACATTCGAGGCCCCACATCTTAAATGGGAGTTTCCGAAAATTAAGGGTACCATATTTGGGGGTCCTTATAACAAGGATCCTACTATTTAGGGTACTATATTAGGGTCCCTTCTTTTCGGAAACTCCTAAATCCTGGACCCCGAACAGAGCCTGTATCCAACCTTCAATCCCGAGTCCTGTGCATAAGCCATCCTACGCCCACAGCCCTGAGCAGCAGTTGAATCAGTTGAACCCCGTCAGAAGCCCATGCAGTACTTGGCCACTTAAACATTGAATAGCGAAATCAGCTGTCAAACCAGGGCACACCTATAGCCCCGCATGAAAGGCTCAGAACAAACAACTGTGAAACTCTGGTCCCTTGGCCTGAAAGCCCGGCCCTAAACCCTAAACCCTGAATTTTAAACCCTGAACCCTAAACCCTAAACCCTGAAACCTAAACCCTGAACCCTAGACCCTGAACCCTAATCCTGAAGCCTGAGCCTGAATACCTCAGTCCCCAAACTTCTAAACCACGTACAAGGCACTTATTGGCCTACAGATCCGCCCCCCCCCACGCCGCCCTTTGAACACAACATGAGAAAGAGCCAGCAAACGCACGCTCGTGCATACACCTATATGTACTATGTTCGTAGAAGCTGTATCTGTATATATCAGCTATGCGTATATTCAACCCCAAACACCTAAACCCCCACCCCTAAATCCTAAACCCCTAAACCCTCACACCTAAATCCTGTCCTAAACCCCTAAACCCCTAAACCCCTAAACCCTAAACCCTAAACCCTTAAACCCCTAAACCCTGACCCCTAAACCCCTAAACCCTGACCCCTAAACCCCTAAACCCTGACCCCTAAACCCTAAACCTCTGAACCCTAAACACACTACTTTTTTCGCAGGACCAGGCGTCGTTCCTTTCCCGGCGCCTGGCCTCCGACGGCCTCGGCGCGGCGAAGTTGGCGGCGCTGATTCAGCAGCCCGGGTCTCGAGCCATGCGAAGTACAAAGTCTGGGGTTTTACCTGGACCCCCAAAGTATGTAGAATAGTAGCCCTTTATGGGTTTTGGGGCATTGTTTTACCTACTTTTGGGGGTTTAGGTAGGGGTTAAGGGAAAAGGGGTTAGGGGTTAAGGGTTTTAGGGGTTCAGGGAAAAGGGGTTAAGGGTTTTTAGGGTTTAGGGTTTAGGGGAAGTATAAAGTGTGAAGTACAGGGGCCTTATAATGATTAGAATAGGGTCCCCACCCCTGGCCGTCCCCGTTTAATGAAAGTGTAGGTTTAGGATTCTTTGGGCTTTAGGGTTTTAGGGTTCAGGGTTTGGGGGCTGCAGGGTTTACGGGTTTAGAGTTTAGGGTTTGTGCGACTGCTGGGATTTAGGCTAGAAAAGGCTTTACCCTAGGACAGCCCTAATTTAGTGGGACTATTCGACCTTGCTAACGAACGCATAAAGGAATGTTGCAAAGTGTGGGCAGGATGTTCGGATTTTAGTGTTTTTGGGTTTAGGGTTTAGGGCACTGATGTCCCAGCATCTTTGTCTACTTAGTGAATCGCTGCACAGTCGTCAGACCCTGAAACCTTAAGCCCTAGACCCCGAACCCTACTGAAGGAAAATCTTTCTGTAACTATACAGCACCATACCGGACTGTACCCCATAACCTTGGATCCCTGTTCGCAAGCTCTGCGCATGAGCATTTCTACAACAGGGACTGTACAACCCTAGTCAGTCGCAAACCCTAAAACGACCCGTATCAAAGGCCCTCTGAGGGGTACAGAACAGCATGGACCACTTTGGGCAGTCCTTAGCAGCCTTTTCCACAAATGTTTCTTGTTCTGGTGAGGGGATCAAACAGCGACCTCCGAAAGTCTGAAAAAATCCTGGCTGAAGCGCTTAAAGTGTAGGTTGTTGTAGGGTTTATGCTGAGGATGAATGGATGTGTTGTTATTAGAGCTTGAGCCCCGTACCTTGAAGCACTGACCACTGAACCGTTTCGAAGTTGGAACACTGTTCCAAGTGCAGGTTCTACGTCGTGGAAGTGCCGGTGGCGCTGACGTCTGACATTAACATCGGCATTGGCAAGACAGCCTGCCGCCCAGCCCTATGAATCGTGAACTCTGGACCCAGAAGTCTATATAAACTCAAATCGTGCGGTTCAGGGTCTACAGTACTGGTTTAGGTTGATCTATATCTTTATGGGCAGTTTTTATCGGCATCATTCTGTATCTATATCTTTGTCACTATCCATATCTCTATCTATATCTGGAGCTACATCGATAACCATATCCGTAGTCTTCAGCTGTATCAGTACCTACAGCTACGTGTAAAGCTGAATCGATAGCTCTCGATGTGTATTTGTATATAGATGTATACTTATACATCCAATCTAACCCTATATCTCTTTCTGAATCTTTATCTCTACCTCTATCTGTATAGTTACGTCTATGGCTATACCTATACATCTCTACATCTACCTCTATGTCTTTGTCTGTGTCTATGTCTGCACCTATCCCTGTATGTATGATGCCGTGCAGCTATATCCATGTCTATTTATCTATGTCAAAGCCGCACTAATGCAGCGGGGGGGGGGCCCTTGGAACCCTCTGATCCTAAACCTTAAACCAGAAACCCAGACTTCACTTCATCGCATTAGGGAGAGTCCCGAGCGTTTAAAAGCATGCAGCCCGAAAGGTGCTATGACGCTGTGCACCGACGCGGGCAAACTACAAAGGTGTCAAACAGCTGTACAAGCTGCCCTCCGAAGAGGCAGCAGGCTGGCGAAGGAGCACTCAGAGTGCTGCAGCAGCACAGAACAAGCGCACACACTGCCGCCCAGCGAGCCGAAGCGCGAGCGGCACCGGCGCAGCAAAACGAACCCAAGCCAAACCAACGCCCAGCCTGGCCGAAGCGCGAGCTTTGACCAGAAAACAGTAACATTACCCATAGGCCCCAAAGTAGTTCCTTTTTGTGGCTCATATATAGAATTCTATAAGGTAGTCCCAAAAAGGAACTACTATGGGGCCTATGGGTAAACTGCCAAGAGCTCCGAAAGCCGGGCGGGGAGAGGCGCAGCTCTCAGGCAGAAGTTACACACGACAGAGCTTAGGGTTTAGGGTTTAGGGTTTAGGGTTTAGGGTTTAGGGTTTAGGGTTTAGGGTTTAGGGTTTAGGGAGGGATGACAAAGCCCTTTGCAAACAGCCGACAAGGATTTAACAAGGCAACCACACCTTCGAAGTAAGGCAGCTTAGTGTATTCCACTTGCAAGTGGAAGCACAGCTAACAAGCGGAAGAACTTCGCGAGGCTCTCGTAGACAAGTCAGTCCAGCGGAGGCTTCAAAGCGCAGCAAAGTCCTTCTCACAAGGAAAGACCACGACCACGTCGGCAGTCTCTGCAATCAGGAGAGCGTTTCCTGGCAGAGCTCCCTTGGCTTGGCACAGAGAGCTCGGCGCTAGGTATGAAGCCACGAATGCGGAACCTAGCTGGGTCCGGTGTTCCATGAGGGAATGCCACTCCCTTGAGGAGAAAGCACCCCAATTAGGGTCTAAGCCGAGAAGACGCCTTGAAACCCAAACCCTACATCCTAAACCGCACAGCCTTCATCCCAAAAGCCCGAATCAGAAACCCCCAACCGACCAAACAGCCGAAACCCGAAAGCAAAGAACACAGGGCCTATAAACCCTAAACCCCTAAACATCTAAACCCTTAACCCCTACACGCTACACCCCCAAACCCCTAATGTCTAAACCCTGAACCCCTAAACCCCGAAACCCCTAAATCCTCAACCCCCAAACCCCTACGTCCTAAACCTTAAACACTTAAACCCCCACAAACCCTTAAATCCTAAACCTAAACCCCCAAACCCCCAAGCACCTAAATCCTAAACCCCAAAACCGCTAAACCCTAAACCCCTAAACCCCTAACCCCTACACCCCTAAACCCCTAAACCATAAACCCTAAGCCCTACATAAACCCCAAGTTTCAGGTGCGGAAGCCTGGCAAGGGCGAGTTTTTGGAGGCTCTGGAAGGCCCCAAACAGGCCGGAGTGTTCGGCTTTTGCATTGCTTTTTTTGGCGGAGGGGTGGGGGTTTGGGGTTCAGGGTATGGGATTTAGGGTTTGGGGTTTAGGGTTTAGAGTTTAGGGTATTAGGTATAGGGTTTAGGGTATAGGGTTTAGGGTTTAGGGTTTAGCGGGGTAGGCTGGGGCTTTCAGGGTTGGGGGGTTGGCGTCGGGGTTCAGGTTTGAGCTGGAAGTGGCGTTTAGAGTTTATTCTTGTAAGGGCTCGGCAAGTTCCAAGCTTTTGAACGGCAAGCGCTAAAAATAATTATCCCAAAGCCCGAAGGTGAAGCTGGGATTGCGAAGGATTACTTGTAAGCAATGCTGTTTTAGGGTTTAGGGATTGGGGTTTTGGCTGAGGTCCTCATTTGTCTGAGAACGTAACGGTTAAGCCTATACCTGCAGACTCAAACCCCGCAACCGTCCTTTTGGATCCACAGGTCGATATAACCGCGATAAGCCCTACAAGAACGTCAACTCTAAGTTACCCTACCCTGAACCCTGAAGCTTAACCCCCCAAAAAAGAAGAAACTGAGCCCCCAACCGTATGAGACCTAAAACACTAAGTCACCTTGCCTGTTCAACCCGAAGCTCTCCACTTCAAACCTCTCCGAACTCTGCCTGTGGTGCCAACAACCCACTGCTTATTACGCCCGCCAGTTCTGGGGACATCACCTGCTAGTGTGTAAGACGTCTTTGCTAAACCTTAACTCATAAACCATAAACCCCAAGCCCTGAAGCCTAAGCCGTAATTGAAACCTGAATTTCCCAAAACCCAAACCCCCAACCCCAAAACCCCGACCCCCCCAAAAATGGTGCGTCAGGTGACCTCCTGCGCTGTGGAGCGCATCCGCGCGCGCTGCGTCACCGACGGCTCCGAGGGATGGCGTCTTGAGCGTCCAAAGGGGTTCGGCTTTAGGGCTGACGGTTTAGGATTTAGGGTTTAGGGTTTAGGGTTTGGGGTTTAGGGTTTGGGGTTTAGGGTTTAGGGTTTATAGAAGTTACTTGGAGGTTCTTGGGTAGTTATAAGTGGGGTTGTACGTCCCCTATGGGCTATAAGTATAGCTACCAGGGTTCATGAATGAAGGGTTGTTTAGTTGGGCTTCGGGGTTTTGGAGTTGAGGGTTTCGGGGTTTGTTCAGGGTTTGGGTGTAGGGTTTGGGGTTTAAGGTTTGCTTCATGTTTTAGACCAGCTTCCAAGTTAGTCTCTAAAAAGCTTCAGGCTTTTGATAAAGATGTTATGTCTAGACGGGTTTCCGGAATTCTGCATGAGTCTGATTATTGCCTAGACCCTCCATCTACCCTCGATTAGACCCTACATGCCCCTTATTTGGGACCATATACCCCTATTTGAGGGTACAAGGAGGGTCCTGGTGTACAGGATTCCAGAGGTTGAGCTTCCAGAGGTTTGGGAGATCTCGAGTCAAAGTGGTGATGGTCAACATCCTGCACTAACCTTGGCCGAAAAGTCCTGTAACTTAGCGGTGCCGCAGGTAATGCAGGGTTGGCCTTTAGGGATTACAGCCATCGCCGCAAAATTTACGGTAGTTGTATGCACGGCTAGAAATGTCCAAGGGCCGCCTCTGGTCCTACAAGTTTCCTTGGAACCTATGACTATGGTCGGAACCCCGATACCAAGCTCCCCCAAAACCTGTACCCCAACCTTGGACTTGGAACCCTAAACCCTATTCCCGATGCCCTAACCTTTGACCTGGAACCTTAAACTTATTTGAAAAGCGATGTTTCCATACCCCGGCCCTGCAAGCACGGGGCATTTGGCCTCGGACTTCCATAGTTGTTTGCAAGGCTGTGTTTTGTAGGTTTCATCGGAGGTTATAGTTTAGGGATTGACGTTTAGGTGGTTATGGCTTTGAAAGTTACCTAGTAAGAGTTGTAAGAATTCTTGCGGGTTCAGGGTTTAGGGTGGGTTGTGGTTTCCGCAGGCCCCTTCCTGAAGCACAGTCGCATCCGCCTGGGATTGGCCAAGTCTTATTTGTTGGAAGACCCCGACCTGGGTTTTTGGAGTACTATAGAGGCCTTAAAATTTATGAGTACTATTGCGGGGGTTCCTTATTGTAATTATAGTATTAATGGGCCGTATAATATTATAGTTTTAATTCTGAAGACCCCTTGATTACATCTCACCAGTCTTAATATGGCTAGATACCTGAAAAAGGTTTACCGGAACCTTACCGTAACCCCGAATCCTACGACAACAGCATGTTATGGCACTTTAAACCTAAAGCCGCAAGCCTGAACCCAGCAGTCGATGTGAGGATCACCATCAAAGGCAACCAGGGCACCCCATACCTTCAGGCACTCAGGGGGTTCCCATCGGAAGTTCTCGCGCGAGGCTGCAAGTCCTAAATCCTAATCCCTCGCAGTGGCTAGAGTAACACTTCATAAGCTACAGGCTTTAGAAGACATCAAGGATATGTACCTGGCGCCCAGACAGAGTGTCTAATTTCCTCGAAGCATCATAGCTAGAGAGCCCAAAATCCTGGAACTGAATAGTACGCCTTAAATCACATTTCGGATCCTTCTATAGCCTTCCAGCATGTTGAGAAAACGTCATGTTCACATGTTCCTTTCGTGTAGTTTCTGTTTCTTGTCATGCTTTCGTGTAGACGTTCGTAGCATTTGTTGATTGCAGGGTGAATGGAGAGCCTTGTGAGCGGCAAAACAAGGCCATCGTAGAACCCATGCACACCCGCTTTCGAAGCCGCTAAAAACTTGGGGTCACCTCGTGGGGGCAGCTAATTCAGTCCCCTGATATGATATGAAGCTCTGAATACTTCAGCATGTTCTCCCCTTCGTAGACAGTACATAACTGGTTTTAATAGGACACACCCAAACCCGGTTTTAAACGAGTATAAGCCCGTAGCCCCCCCCCCATATTAACCCCTGTAGTACCTGACCATCTGTATCCTATATGCCGCCTATATGCTCCAAAGCCTACGTGTAGCGTGTAGCCGCGTCGCCTGTCGCCTCACTCACAACATTGCAGCTTCTGACCCCAAAGAAACATATAAGTAACGGGGTATACATATATAAACCTTACATAACTCAATAGCTTACTCAAGACTACTAAACCCAACACCCAAAACCCTCCCAAAGCCCCGAAGCAAGCAACACAAAAAACGTTAGGATGCGTACAGGAGACTCTGAAGCCGTACTACATCTCCATCAGTGAGGAGAAGGCCTATGGATGTCGAGAAAGACAAACACCCGTTCTTTAGGGAATTTACGTCGACTCGTGCTGAGTCGTACATGGCTTGATAAGAGGTTGCACCAGCGCTGTACGGGAGTTGCGGGGCGGTATAGGAAGTTTTGGGTAATTACCTTTTTAAGGGGCGGCGTCACTTAAAGGATCCTAGCAATTACGGTTTCGTTAGGGTCGTTCAGGGTGATATAATATGGTCGATTAGATACCCTAAGGCTCAAAATGGCCCAAAAGCCTTATCCATTATGGTCTTTATGCCCAAAAGCCTTAAAACATGAGTCCTTAGAGCCTGAGGGTTAGGGTTTATGAGGGTTTCCGCAGCGGGACCTGCGCCTCGACAAACGCGCCGTCGGGTGCACAAGACCTTATATAAATCCGTAGTCTAACCCTAAGGCTCTAAGGACTTATATTTTCAGGCTTTTGGGCCTAAAGATCATATTATATAAGGCTTTTGGGCCATTTCGAGCCTTAGGGTAAGGGTTAATTTTTAGCTCGTGCGGAAAACTGGGCAAGTAGGCAACTGCGAGGCAGAATGCCGCTGGAAAGCTCTGGAGGTGTCCATCCTGACGAAAGTATATGGGAGTTTCCGAAAATGGTGGACCCTAACATAGTACCCTAAAGAGTATGATCCTTATTATAAGGACCCCCAAATAAGGTACCCCTAATGTCGGAAACCCCCCATATGTTGAAGTCTAAACCGATTATACAGACGGCCTAAACTCTTTACAAACCGATCAACTTCCCTTTCTGAAAGACGTGCGACACGACCAAGCAAGCACTTAACACCATTACTTCATCAGATCTTCACTTCCCGAGTTGGTTGGAGCCTTTCAACTCGTAAACTGTGCAATGACTTCAGTATCGATGAGTTAAAGAACACGGCATGACATTGTGCGATGTCTAAACCGTAAAGCCAGAAACCTTGAATTAGCATCCCCAATCCCGAACCCCAAACCCCCTTAGCCCGAGCCCCAAACCCCCTCACCCTGAACAGACCAAATTGCAAACCCAAAACGCCACAGACTGATTCATAGCATCCCTCAAAAACTCCTGCATATCACAAACTCATCCTTCTAGATGCATTAACAGCACCATCACAACCTCATACAGCCCGTCCAAAACTCGTCTAAAACTTCTACTAAGTTAGCCCTAGAAACCCTTGGCCCTCAACCCTCGAACCCTAAGCCCTACAAACCCCAAGACACCTTAAACCCCAGCCCCAACCGTACTATAGGGGCCTTTATAATTACCTATACCATTTTTGGGGGGTACCTCCTTCTTCAGAGTATAGTATCATGGGCCCCAAAAGCCTATTCTGATTATTAAGGCCCCTGTATTAAACCCCCCATGGACCTCCAAGTAGGCCCTAAACCCTCCACCCCCATAGACTCCCTATGGGGATCCCTTTAAAGGGACCCTTTTCCATCATAGAACCCCTTTTGATCCCTAAACCCTATACCCCTATAGAATCCCTATAGATCCCTTTAAAGGCACCCTTTTCCTTTCGGGACAGGTCCCTCTGCAGGGAAACGATGGCGCCGATGCTCGGAACGTGGAGTTCGGAGAAGTCCTGGAGCTCCTTCAGGTGCGGAAAGCGTTTAGGGCTTAATAATGATACTGATAATAATAGTGATAATAATAATGATAACAATAGTGATAATAAAAATAATGATAATGATAATAATAGTCCAGGTTTAGGGCTTAATATAGGGGGCTAAATAGTTACCAATACTAGTTTGGGGCTTCCTTATTGTAGTTATAGTACCCTTATAGATCCCTTATAGACCACTTTTAAAGGAACCCTTTACAGGAACCCGATTCTAATTGTTTAGGCCCATGTATTATAGGCTCTAGGATTGAATTGCCGAACCTGTCATTTGCCTGTTTTTCTGTTGTCGCGGAGCATGAAGGCTGTAAATCAGCCACGGTGCTTGAGGAGGTCAAGATCGGAGTTGTTGAACCACGACATCGTCTCTTTCTGCTATCGGTCAGCATCATCAGCACCATCATCATCGCATCAGCATTAACCACAGCATCATCACGTTAGTATCAGGGTCATCTTCATAGTTATCATCATCACGCAATTCACGTGCCGGCCCAGAACGCACAAAAGCCCTTCGAACCTCAGGGCCCCAAGACAACCTCCTCGTCTTCCGTCCAGCGAGCGCGCGGGAAGGTCGGAGTCACTTTGCCTTCGGTTTGCGGCTTGTGGTTCAACATGTTTTACCTAAACCCCCAGAAGTAAGTAGAATAATGGCCCAGTACCTCTAGAAGGCTTTTATTCTACATACTTTTGGGTCCAGGTAGAGATTTCAGGACTGTCTAACCCTGAAGCCTAACTCTTAAAACCTAGTTAAGCCCCTTCAGGAGGGTTTAGGAATACAGGGTGTATCTACGTCGGGGGGGTCTCAGGGTTTGGACACCAGGCTTCAGAAGCGTGTCGGGTTGAGATGCATGTGGTGTTTGAGAATTTAGAAACCAGTAGTCAAGGCTTGTGGCGTTTACGGTTTTAGGCTTGAAGGGTTCAGGAACTTAGGATGGTATGGCTTTTGGCGTTTCAGGATTTCAGTGTTGAGGGTCCCTATTCTCCCCCTTATCGTGAACTTTCTTTATAGGGTATCCATAGATGTAACCACTTCTAGCCCTGATGACTTCCAAGCTTATAACAACCACCCAGGAGCTTTTGAATTACTCCCCCAGACAAGCTACTTGCTTGCAGGTATTGTTAAAACCCAGAAAAAGCACGATAAGAACCCTCCGATAACCCTTGGACTAAGACTCACCCTAAATGTTTCAATCCACTATATATCCATGAGCCTTCCAGCAGGGCACTTAGAGGATCATGGGACTTAGTAAGTAGGTTATAGTTGGGGTTAGAAGATGGTCTGGGCGAGGGCTCTCGGAGACGGACTTCTTCGGGGCCGGACTGTGGGGGCCGAGAAGCATTTCAAAGCCGGGTACGCCATTGGCTTCTCGGACGGGTCTGGGTCGGACAAAGCTTTGACGACGTCAGTTTTTGCCTCATCGGCAAACAAAAAGTACAATGACCTCGTGCCAGATGCGGACTTGGACTTGCTGGTTGAAGAGTTGATAAGGGCTCCAAGGACTCTGCGGCCAAGGGCTCCAAGGACACTGCCGCCGCCACTTACTAAGTCCCATGAGCCTTCAAGTAGGATTAAGGACCACCCTAAGTTGGACACCTGATCCGGGATCGTGCGAGCGCCAAACTTGATCGGAGGGGCACCAGAAGCACCTTACTTACTAAGTCCCCTGATCCTAGGAGGGTTCAAGGCAGACCCAGCCCAGGATGGATGGGTTCACTGTGGTGACCCATAAGAAGGTTTAGGGTTTAGGGGTTTAGGGTTTAGGGTTATTATGGTTTAGGGTTTAGGGTTGGGGGTTTAGGGTTTTAGGGTTTTAGGGTTTTAGGGTTTAGGGGTGTAGGGTTTAGGGTAAGCAAGCAGAAAGAAGACAAACCCGCAAAAATGAGATGCTCGGAAGGCTGCCTTTGTAGCGAGACAGAAGATGATCTCTGTTTCCAGGGGTGTATTGGAAGAGGTACCTGAAAAGGCAGCCTGGCTCAAGCAGTGCATCTTCCTCTACATGGAAGTGTCCGATCATAGGGGACCCTAATATAGTACCCTAACTCTTAGGATCCTCATTATAAGGACCCCCAAAATAAGGTACCCCAAATGTTCGGAAACTCCCACATAGCCCCGACCTGTACGCCCCAACCCTCGCCTCCGACCTATCTAGGGGCTTAAAACAATTACCAAACCCTCTAGGATCCGCAGCCATGGCTGAGGGACGAAAGCTGGCCCTAAAGCCACACAGCGCCTAAATGTTTAAATGCCCCAAACTCTGAAGCCATGCCTGTAGCCCAATAAGGAATTAATGACATACGTTCTGTAAAGAAGCCCTAAAGAACCCTAAACCCCCGAACCCCTAAACGCTAAACCCTAAACCGCCTGGCCGTCCTGGCCTCTCAGACCTTTCGGGGCACTGGAGAAAAGGAGCTCAAAAAAAAAAAACCTAAACCGCCCCCAAACCCCAAAACCCCACAGCGGGATGCCCTCGCGGAGGCGCTGAAGGACAACGCCACTGGGTGGTTCACCGTCATGGACAAATTTGGTCAGGCCGTGGAATTTGAGTTACTTTGAGGTTCATGGCGAGTTATCCGTACTTAGAGGTTATAAACACGATAAGGGCCATAAGTAGGATAGCTATGTGTGTGTATATACATATATATATATATATATATATGTAAATGTGTGTGTGTGTATATATATATATATAAATCCATATAGATATGACCCAGGTCAGGCAATTATGACCCCATGTACGGCTACCCATCAGCCTCCAACTAGGGCAACTTCATAGGGTTGAGGGATCTCAGAGGTGACTTTTTCTGGTCTCGGTTGGGACCCCTTAAGCTTCTGAATGTTTTGAGGGCGCAGGGTTTCAATGTTTTGGGTTTGAGGGGGGTTTTGCGGAGTGTTGTTATAAGGCTCGCATTCATAACTCAGGTTTGTGTCACAGGGCATCACAGTTCTGCCCGAAAACTTGAAACTCTAGCTCAGGCTCCCCCCAAAGTATAAACCCCTGGACTCGCAGGGCGGTCCTTGGGGTAGGTTTGGTTGCTTTCTTGATGGCTGACCCCTCAACCCCAAACCCCTAATCCCCAAACCTCAACCCCCGAAACCCTAAACCCCAACCCCCTCAACCGGAAGCCTCAAAAGCCCTGAAGGATAAACTTCTTAACCCCTAAACCCCTAAACCCGGAACCCTAAATCCTAACCCCTAACCCCTAAACCCTAAACCCTGAACCCCTGAACCCCAAACCCTAAACCCTAAAGGATACAGTAAACGAAGACTGAGGGCACGCCTGCAGCCTGAGCCCAGAGCTTCGCTTAGGCTTTCTTCACTCGTTTAGGGTTTGGGATTTAGGGTTTAGGGGTTTAGGGTTTAGGGGGTTTAGAGTAGGAGGTAGAGGTTTATGACCCAGGCGTTTTGAGGCTCGTTTTGGGTAGTTTGTATCTTGGCCCTTCAAGCTTTCCCTGCAGGTCTGTGCGGAGAAGGGCGAGAAACTGCTGCCTGGCTGGGCAGACTATGGTCGTTTATTCGGAATGTTCGGGTTCGGGGCTTTGGGAATTAAGTTTAGGGTTTGGGGTTTTGGCATACAAAGGTGTTCAAGCACTGAGCTAGGATCCCAACTACGATGAACTATTTCTGTGGTAATTGTCCGTTGTCCGAATTCCCATGGTTGAGGGTACTTTTTTTTGTAATGCAGGTTCTTTCTTGTCCAGGGGCTGCGGCCTTCAAAACCCTGCGTCCTAGGCAAATGCGATGCCTTGACTCCGAAGACCCACAGAGTCGGGCGGTTGGCCTTAGATTGATAACGAAGGCCCCTACAAATTTGAGTTCTTGTCCTTTGCTTGTCATTTGAAGGCCGTAAGATACGTAAACCTAATCCTGGTTATGGGAAGGTTGCTATTGTTATGTCGTCATGGGTTTTACATGAAACCTTATGAGGTCATTGGGGGCTGTTTCTACCGTGGGCTTTCCTTTACAAGTAGCAGCCGCTGTTACCCTTCCGGGGCATATCTCGGAGCCTCAATATTGGGCGGTGGGAAAGAGGTCGTGGGGGGGGTTGGCTTAAACTCGGTCCAGGTTTAAGGGGCAGCTGGATCGCTTTCTGGTTCGAGGTGCACTGGCCATCCACTGCTTGTGTATCCTGACATCACTTGCCTTTGGTTCGTAGGGAATGGAAGATTTGTAGTAATAGTAGTTATGACTGTACCCCATTCCTCCATTCCCCACTAACCAAAGGTAAGATCAGACGACCAGAAGAAGTTCTGTTTTTTCTGGAATCGATCGAGGGATTTGGCCGCCATGTTCCTGCTCACTTGGAGGATCATGGGACTTAGCAGGTATGGTTAAAAGTACCTTAATTGGGGTTATAAGTATAGTTACCTTAATAATAACCATAATTACTAAGTCCCCTGATCCTTTAAGCACAACGGCCAGTGTTTTTACTCCGAACACGGACATTGGAACGTCTACAAAGGAGTCGTTCCACAAGGCACCCTTGCCAGATGTCAGAAATTTCTGCTCTAACTCGAAGGCCTGTACGCATTGTTCGGTCCCAACGTCCTGGGAGGCAATGATGGGATTCTGAGGGTTTAGGGTTTAGCGCTAAGATGCTACTGGAGAACATTCCGGCCGACTCGAGTGTATGCTGTTTGCGGCTTGTGAGGAGGCAGCGTTCACCCCGCCGTCACAGTCAGGGAGTGGGGCCGGGGTAGTGGAGGCCTACCACGAAACGCGAACATTATGTTTTTCCCAGAAACCAAGAATATTCAAAGAGACCCTTCCGACGTCTTGGCGCAATTCCAACCATGCGTTGAGATTGAATAAGACACGGTTTCGAATATCTGTCATGGGTTTTCACGAAATCAAGAACAATCTATGACGCAATTGCGGTGTGTTATCACATTCTGTGAACTCATGCCTTCTGGGATTCAAGAAGATTCAGCAAGGTTCCACAATCTGATTTCGTCGGATATGCTAACACGGCGAGACCAACAGCCCACGGGCTTAAGAGCGCCGCAATACAGTATTTTTAGTCTACTACGACCGTGCTACTGGTACAACTACCACCAAACTACTGCTGGACCACCACGGTCCTAATACTGTTCTGCCACGGTACTAGTGTACAGCTTCTGTACTTCTACTGTACACTTACTAGACACGCTCCCCACGAAGCTCAAAAGCAGTTCAGGAAACCTTGCGTGGCATAGAATTCGCCAAACCGTCTGCAGATCGAGCCTCAATGCGGCTTACCAACACTGCGATTGAAACTGAGTAGGAGGGCAATCTGGGGTGCGGGTGTCCGGGTGTCATGTTTTCTTTCAGGGTTTTGTTTGGGCGCTAGGCAAGGAGCCAAAACAGAGAACCTGCATAGGCGGATTTTGCAGAGACCACCAGGAAGTGCTTCCTAATTCTCAGAAATCCGTTTCGCCTGAGGTACAGATGCGCATCGGCCGTCGCAATGACCGATGCCACTGTGGCTGCAAGTCTTCTGCAAGGTCCACACCCGTCGGACCAACATGCAGACACAAACTGGAGTCCATTAGGAGGTCCTTGTAGGCTCCATACTCGGTCAGGGGCATGTACACGTTGGGTTCGTGAGTCAACGACTTTTCGAAAATGGGCGACAGTGTCCCAAAACCCCACCTAACCCCCAAATGGTCCTATCCTATATAAGTCCGCAACCCTCAAACCCTCAAACTCCTAGCTCCTGAAGACCCCCAGACCTCCTCAAGAGGTGCAGGTACTCAATTAGGAGGTTTTAGGTTCCACAACGATTTAGCATGTGCATTATCCGGGATTTGCAAGATGCCCTAAACCTACATACAAAGGATTACCATACGGCCATGCGGATTGTATTTCGCCTTAGACCTAGCCCTTCTAGAACCTGTAGAGTAGCCCGTAGCGTCGACCGACGACCTGAAAACCTGGCATCCCTCTTGAACCTTAAACTCGCAGCAACAAGCAAGCGCCATTTGCACTGCACTTTTCTGATCATTGTTACCCTTATGTTCATCATTATTCTTGTCTTGTCTAGGTTTTTGGTCAGCATGACGGTTACGATTATGTTTATGGTTATGAGTATGATGACGATGACATTGTGTACTATTCAGGCATATGCAGTGCCCCAGGTTCTAATCACCTATGATTTGATTGGTGGGTTTGCCTTGTAGGTGCGGGGTCACTGCCTGCCGCTTCATGCGGGTTTAGGGTTACAGCGATACCCCAACACTAACCAACTATCCTGGCTTAAGGTCTGTTCTGTAAATACTGGTTGAAAACCCAGCAGCCATTAGCAACCCCCAGTTAGGCCTACCTTAACCCCAAATAACTTACCTTTTTAAGGACTTATATAAAGAACTCATACTAGGGAACCCTAAAACAAGTAGGTTCCTCACGGGTACAGGTAAAGCTTAACCCACGGTGCCAACCCCACTCAGTAATAGTTGAATAATATTCATAATATAGATATATTAGGACCTGAATAGTAGCCCTATTATATCCTAAACACCCTAAACCCTAAAACCCTAAACCCTTTATAGAACCCTTATAGATCCCTTTAAGGAACTCTTAAAGGACTCTTACTGTATGGGGGCCGTAACCCAAGTGCCAAAATGAGGACCTGGACCTCCAGAGCAAGATGATCAAGAAGTTGGACATCGGCACTTACCTTCTCGTCGAGGCTCCTTTGGGAGGGAGTCTAGGGGGGTTTGGGGTTTAGGGGTTTATAGGGTTTAGGGAGTTTAGGGTTTAGGTTTCTAGAAGGGTTCTAGAAGAAGGTGAACGAAGAGGGTTCTAGAATGAGGTGAACCCTTACCGTCTCTTACCTTTCCTCGTCCATCATGGTGCCCTTGGTGTTGCACAGAATCTGCTGTTCAGGATTCGGGCCTGCCCAGAATCTCCGACTGTGATTTCAGAGGTTCCATGTACCGTAAGCGCTTTTATTCCACCCGTGTTTTCTGCTGTTTATAGAAACGTTCAGAGTCATATTGGGTGTCGGCTTTACAACGTGTGCTATCCATGCTAAGCGACCTTGAGCTTTGGAAAACCACACTGTATTTTCCAGTATCTTCCTTAAACCCCGAGGAACTCAGTAAACTGCAAGCCCTTGTAAAACCCCTACAGCACCTCACAGGTTAAGGTGTCTTCCTTGGTTACATGATTTGGATTGCTCCGAAGAAACCCAGTGCGCCCCCACAAACCCCCACGTGCCAAGGGAGCACCGGCCCGCTGCTTCTTCTAGCCAAGCAACAGGTGAAATTGTAGGACGCACAGGGTGTAGGGTTCGGATGTGTAGACGCTTTTTTTCTTAGAAGGCCTATAGGATCACCACCAGACCCTACCAATGAAACCCCGCGACGCACTGCGTGGCTTCCTTACTTGTGGCTTCCGGTTCTGTCCTGTGAGATCTTAGAGCTGGTCAGGTTCCTTAAGGGGTGGAAGATAAGTGGTAAGATATGTAGGTGGTTGTCAAACTGATGGTCCCTTTTTGGGTACCCTAAATGTTAGGCACCGTATTATAATAAGGACCCAAACAGGGGCCATAATTTTGACAACCACCCATGTGGTAGAATCGAACTCAATGGGCGTGCCTATCTCTTATCCTTCAGCTCCTTACCAATACATATTAGCCCTTTAACCCTGAGCTCTTTAGATCTTAAAGTAAGCCTAGAGATCGCACCAGAGTTTGAACCTGGAAGCACTATAGAGTCTGGCGCCCCCAAGCTCTGAACCTTTTCTTCTTTGGCGAAACCCTAGGCACCTCGTTTAGAGCAAATATGTCTGAATTACTAGGAGGAACGCCTCCATAGGCTTTAAAAAAGCTAGAATTACAATAAGGAACCACAAAAATTGTATTGGTAAGTATTTAGGCCCCTATATTACATGTTTCAATTATATTGGACCCCAAAGCTTGGTTTTGATTCTTCAGGCCCCCTCGAGCGCGAAAGCCCCAGCCATAGAACCCTTGCATACTTGGAGGATCATGGGACTTAGTAAGTAGGTTATAATTGGGGTTATAAGTCCCCTAAGTGGGGTTATCCTAATTATATCCTACTTATAACCTTACTTACTAAGTCCCATGAGGCTTCAAGTAGAGGTCTTCAAGATGCCCTTGGACGATAAGGCACCTAACGTGCAGTAGAAGCCCAAAGTTGGAAACCCCATAGCCTCAATCCTTAAGAGTAATGTATAGGAAATCCCAGCACTATGTGGCCTTAATCCGGTTTCCATTTTTATGGGGTTTACTGTAATGAAGCTTCCTGAACTCCCTCAGCTCTTCAAACTCCCAAAACCCTAAATCCTACAGTACTGGCCCAAAGCCGCAAAGCGCCAAACTCAACCTTTTCTTAACAGAAACGAAGCCCAAGTGAGCCGTGCTCGCGAGGGGTCGACGCAAGTTGACCCTGCGACGGGCACCTCGGTGTTTAAGGTTCTATTCTTGGGCCCCTGTATCTATAGGGCGGGTCCTTGATTGGGCTTTAAGGGGTTGCAGAGGGTTATTTGAAGGTTCGTCAAACGGGTTTCATGGGGCTTTAAAAGGATGTTTGCAGGGTTTAGGGTTTAGATCTCGGAGAACCCAAAGCCCGTACTCAAGGATTGTACCCTCAACTGTAGACAGAGGGATGCTGCATACATGGCTTACGGTGGATTTTTTTGGTACGAGAAGTGCAGATTCCTGGTTCGAATTAGGTTCTCTTCGCGAACCCAATAAAGCAGCCTTTTTGCAGGGTCTCTTGGCACGCGACGAAACCCTTGACCCTAATATAGGAACCCGAGGAAGAAGAAAGCCTGGGCCTTTACTAGGGCTCCATGTATGGGACCAGGGTGACTTAATCAGGCTCCTAGATTATCCTAAGCCCTAATCCCCAAGTTCTAGACTCGAAGCCCTGA